AACCCCAGAAAAAGCAGGCTGCAGATAGCTGTTTATTACAAATGACTTCCACCTCCTCCACAGCCCTCAAAGGCAAACTATAAAGCTGTGTGCAAAGCCAGACAATCTGGGCACCCAGCCATAAACCATCACTGCTGCAGCACAGATAACTGTTCTCGCTCTCAGCCATCCTTGGCTGCAAACCCACGGGGAAGAGCTCCAGAAAGCAGAGCTCGGTACCGTCAGGGCTTCGAATATTTTATGAGCTTGAATTACAACTGCGTTCAAGACCTCAGTGCTGAGAAATTACAGTGCTGATTCACACCCAGGGCTGAGACCAAAACTCGCTCAGATTTGCTTGGTACCCCGAGCCATGAGATGTAAGAACAGCCCGTTATTTTCCAGCTGTCTCCAGTGACAGAAGCCTTTTCATTGGGATGAAGAGGGAGATATGTTACACTTTAAAAAAAAGACAAAGGAATCAGACGCATGTTTTCAAGTACTGCTGTGTTTTCTTCGAGCGATACCATCTTTGATACAACCTCAAGGAGCACTGTGGCTACTCTGTGCAAGAACAGGCAGTTTTGTTATGATCAAATTCAGATATTTTTATCTTGTGCGGGAGATTTTAAAACATATTAGTGACAGGGCAGGAAGCTGCAGAAATAAAGTTTCAGAAAACACAGTTGTAACTGTGTGAGTGAAGCCACAGTGAAGTTAACCATGATTAAGTAATTTTAGAAGTTAACTATCATTAAGGAATGATAAAATAACTGTAAGTACATCTACTTTGGGAATTTAAGATGTACAACTAAGCCATGCTTTTGGCAGACAGTTTTCAAAAATAGCACAGATTCCTAAAGGAAGATCAAATAATACTTTGATTCCTCTGCTTTCATACATTAAGAATAACCATCTTTCATTTCACCAATAGCATTTGCCAGTGAAGAGACTGCACAGAGCACATAGATCATTTAGTAATGCAATTTACTGTCACTCCTAGATCATCTCCCCATTCAATAAAGTATACTTCTCCTCTAAACACTATTTGCCCTGGCTGATATCTTCATAATACAGCTGAAAACCTCAAGCCATTATCACTAGAAGGCATCAGCTGATCCTAAATTGGCTAGACTGCATTTAAGAGGTTTCCTTATCATTCATCTTTAATACTGAGGGATCGACACACTCCTACCTGCAGCTTCCAGGCCAAAGGGAAACCTTCTAATGGTATTACCATTATCTTGTAATCTGAATTTTAAACAATTAAAACAATAGCACTTTTGTGTTGCAGGTCTCTGCTGTAACCAAAGATGATACATTTTCCCATCAGTTCTCATGTTCAAAGTCTTCCATAAAGCACTGATTTTTTTTTTTAAAAAGCAGCAATATGCACCCTGCATTTAAGCTGCTGAACCTTCAAAGAGAAGCAGCAGCGTAGCAAGGCACTGAGATTTAAGTCATCACCAGAGACTATTTGCTTTACTCAAGGAAGGTTTGGCCATTTCATTCTAAATCTGCACTTCTCGTGTAGTCAATGCGCTCTGGCAATTCTTTCCAAATGAAAGCCTCTTTTTACTGAAGCAAGGGATGGCTCCACCCCTGACCTCCTCCTTCAGCTTGTTTTGGAAAGGGGCCAGATGACAGCATTTGGAAAAGCGCATGTTTATCTCGGCGAGGCCAGCTGCTAAGTTAACATATTACCCGTTCCCACATACACTGCTCTTGGTTAAGTCTTCACAGCTAAAACTGAAAGTAAACGCTGCCCTTGGGCTTTCCATAACCTGAACACGAAAGAGAAAAGGAGTCTCCACGGCATGGAGCACCTGAAGGGGCTGGAGAAGTGTAGGTTAGTTTGAATTAACAGCAGGCAGTTAATCTGTAAATAAATTTCATGGCCTTTCTGAATGAAAAACAGGTTTTATTACTAGACTAATTTAAAGGTGAGCTTTCTATAAGGTTGCCACTCAGCAACAGTTTGCTCCAAGACACAAGGTGATTATAAGCCCCTGTTGGACAAAACCTTGATCTTGTTTTATAGTTACTCCAGCTCGGCAAGGTATGGAACGTGGGGGCTTTGAGAACTTCAACAAAGAATCTTCAGGTTAAAAGTAGTATGTTATTTCTCATGTTAAGGGAATTTTGTTCTATAATTTTCAAAGTCTTAAAAAGCTCATTGAAAGGAAAAAGTATAGAATTACCTTCCTTCCCTTAAACATCAGTGAAAGATCACAACTCGCCAAAAAGCACAGCTTGTTATTTTAACAGGAAAGACAAACCCTGGAATAACAAAAAAGAAATGAAGCCAGACAGGTGGGGTTTTCATGGATCCCAGCAAGGTCCATCAGGCTTTGCAATGGCAGGGAAGGCAAACCTCATCCACTCACAGGGGATCGGATTTTGGGAGATGCCAGGTCGGAAGGTGAACCTCCAGGTCCCCAAGTGGTTCTTCAGCCAAGGGCAGCGTCCCAGAGCAAACTCCACTATCCTCTGTACCAGCCTGGAAACGGCACGGCCCAAGGCTGCCCACAGGGACATTCCCGGGCACTGGGAATGATGCCCTGCACCACTGACAGCCGACTTACAAAATAATCCCAGTGCTGTAAAACACATGTACGAGCACACACAAACCACTCGTATGTAACACACTGCTCTTAGTCTGATGGACACCGATCCCTAAATTTGTCAACATGGCAATCCACCCAGAGAACAACAACATAAATATTTCCTGAATATATCCTACAGCAATCCAGACGAGCCCCCACTGAAAAGGTTTGCCTGCCCTGTTTCTTTCATTACTATAAACAAAACCTTTAGACACAACTACAAAATACTGCCTAAAATAACAGCCCCTACTAACACGCATCCCCTCTTGCCCTGGAGCAAGTCCTGGCTCCAGCAGAGTTTTCCCGATGCCAGCACCTGCTCTCCAGGGGCTGGACTGAAATGAACCTTCCTCATCTCACCAGCTCCGTGCCAGGCGGATCCCTTTAAGTCAGAAACGATCCGTTCTCCTTTGAAGATAAGGACAAAGCGACGCAAGGCATTATTACAGTACTGCTGGTGCCCTTCAGCACTCATTCTCCCTAAAAAAAAGTTCAAAATAATCTGATTTACTACAGCTTTCTTCACAGGCTGAGTCACGGGCTCGGAAGCAGCAAAGGTGACCCAACACCCGAGGATAACACAGCTTCTGTATCTCACCCAAAAAGCAACAATCTCACCCAAAAAGCAGCATCAGTGTTACCAATGACAGACCGAGCCTCCCACAGGCTGGAGCAGTTTTCTCACTGGCGTACGCAGGGCTGACACTGATGCTTTCATGTTCTGGAAAGGATTCCAGAAGCCAGAGCAGGAACGCCAGTGCATCCGGGGGCTGGTTCCTCAGCACACCATTTTGAGCTCACAAATAACACACTGGAGCGGCCAGACCGATATCCCAGGGATTTCTGAATTTGAGGAACCGCGATGGTGGAAAACTGTGTGATGTGCTTTAAGCACAGGTTGCACCCGCTGCAAATCACCTACTATTTCCTTGGAAAACACAGGGGGAAGCAGTGAGAATCTGCGTGTACCTTCCCACCACTTTCTCGAAAATTATTATAAAAAATTGTAATATCCGAGAGGAAACTGCGTTTAAATTCTCAGCCGTAGGTGAAGCCGAAAAAAACCCACCCACCGCATGGGATTAGGGCAGGATTTGGAAGCCATGCCTTCCTCCCCCAGTGCATCCAGCAGCAGTGCAGATGTTCTCCTGCTCCTCCACTCTGGCATTGTCCTCAGGTCCACGGCACCACCGACACCCACCTGATTTAAAGCTCTGCACCATCGACCAGCCCACTAACAGCGGGATTTATTGGAATTTTAATTACCTTAACCGGCCTAATGTCCAAAGCAAATTTCTCTATATAAATTAGCATAATTCGCCAGATACATCCATATGCAAACGAGAGGGAAAATATGCAACAGACACGGGTATGACGTACCGAAGATTATTTCTAAATTTAAACTGGCTGTTAGAATAATTGAATAAATCTCTTCTCGCACTCACACTGGAGTTGTAGCAGAAAATAAACTACCCACAAAGACCAGCAGCATTACATTTAATGGAAAAACAGGGAGAAAAAACCCAACTGAGTTCAATAAATCCCATAATTGAACCTTCAACTAATTACATATTAAGAAGATTAACCTTTGACACAAACTTGTGATACAAACAAAGAAGCCTCAAACAATTAATAAACTTCCAGTGTTTCAAGATTTCTCAGGTTAACAACTGAGCCCTCCCCGTTTTCCTCCCATTCTGCGTCGCAGTTAAAGGAATAAACTCTATGTTTCATATTCTCTCTGCCCCTGGACATTTCAGATTTAGAGGAACATCTCTCTGAATACTCAGGAGAAAATTACTGCGGACCCCCACAGCCTCATTCCTTGGGGGGGAAGAGGAAAAAAAAAACCTTAATCCAGCTATTCTAACTTTTAAGAGAAAGCTGCCACGAAGGACAAAGCTGGAGCGCATCTGCTCGCCCACAGAGCAAGCACTGCTGGCCATGCCCCTCAATTTTCCAGCCCTGGGATCATTTCCAACACGCTCTGCGATGATTTTCACACGTGTAAGTTCTAAACCAAGAGCACACGGTCATGCCTCGCAGCAGAACCTGCTATCGTGTCATGTCTGAGTGGCACAACATGCTTACAAATGGTTATTTCAAATCGCTGTTTGGTGAAAAACAGCGACTGCAACAGGGAAAAAGGGACAGAGAATGAGATACAGAATCAATTCTAGCATTATTTAAAAAAATCCGCAAGTAGTTCACAGGAAAAAAAAAAACGTATAAAAACAAATGCATTTTGAAGTGTTTCCGGGTGGTACTTTGCTTCACTGACTAATAAGCAGTTTACAAAAATATAATAATCTGGTTTAGAGTTGTGAAAAAAGGAGGAATGCAGTAGTTCAGCAGGTCTCTTCCCTGCTAACTTCTACCATGCCCGGATTCAGAGAGGCTCTTACCCCTTCTTACCTTTTAGTCTTTTCTTTATGGGGCTCTTTGGCAGCTTTCGATTCAGTCTTGCTGTAAGGAAACAAGTGAGTATTTTGTCTACCGTGTAGGGGTCTTTCTGACGTGTTCCTTTCTTATTTTTAATGCTTCTTTTTTAATTTTTTTTGTAAATGTACCCGTAATTTCACGAATCTGAATACGAAAAAAATCTCACACGGCCAAAAAAAACTAAGTTTTTTTTGTTGTTGTCGTTTGTTTACCCCCCTCAGAAAAAAAAAAAAGTCTGCCACACAGGAGATGAAAAAAAAAACAAAACACCAACAGATCAACAGGAAAACACTATCCAAGTAGAAAAGCAAAGAGCTTCAGTGTTATCCAGCCCAGAGGAGAAGTGCAGCAAAAGCAGGTCCAATTCCAAAACAAGCTTTTGACTTCCAGTGAAGCAAAAATAAAAACAAAAAAAAAAATATATATATATATAACCAAGACCAAGAAACCAAGACAAAATACACGTTCAAGTCCCCAGCTAAATTTTTGCACGAGTGTGTCTTAAATACAAGTTTGCTTTTATGTGTTGCAGCAAAACCCACGAAAAGCCAGGATTTGGAGTTGATCGGGATGAGTTCTCGTGTTGTGTGTGCCTTGATGGGTTCTCAGTCCACATGGAGGAGCATCTGAGGGCTTTTTCAAAAAGTGCAAATCAAAAAAGAGAAACCGGGATCCAGCGGGGGAAAAAAAAAAAAAAAAAGAGAGAGAGAGAGAGAGTTTTTAAGATGGATCCCCCCTTCAAAATAAAAGAGGGAGAGGAGGGGGAGAGAGAAAAATTAAAACACCACGGCGGAGCCACCGGGGGGGACGCGGAGTCTCACATGGGGCTGCGGGCGGGAGGAGGATCCCGCCGGGAGCTCCGGGGGGGGCGGAGGATCCAGCGGTGTCTCTGCCAGGGGAGGAGGGTTCGCGGCTCCGCAGGGACCCCGCGGGCGATCCGGGCCGGGAGGAGGATCCGGCGGCCGCTCCCGCAGGAAGGAGCGAGCGCGGGGAGGGGGATCCGGGGAGGAGGATCCAGCAAAAAGTCTTTCGCGGAGGGAGGAGGGAGCGGGGGAAACCCGACAGTCTGTGCTCGCAGCGGGATCCGCGGGCGGGCGCGGGGCGGGGGATCCCGCGGCTCTCTCCGTGTCCTCCGCGGGGATCCGGCGGGGATCCGGGTGGGCGGCGGGAGCAGCTGGGACCCGGGGGGGGGTCGGCGGGGAGGCGGCGGCGCGTCCCCGGGGAGCCGCAGCAGCGCCTCGGGCAGGGTCGGTCGGTCCGCCGGGGCGTTGGGGGCGGGGGGCGCAGCGCCTCTTCGCCGTCTCCTCCCGCGCTCGCTCTCGCCTCCGTCCGCTCGCAGGGCAAGGCGGTGCCGGGGAGGGGGGTTGTAGGGGTGCTCAGTGCTGGCGGGCCGGTCCCCCGCTCCTCCGCGCCGCCGCCGCCGCCGCCGGTGCCGGTGCCGCCCTGGGGAGCAGAGGAGCCGCTGCCGCCGCTGCCGCCGCCGCCGCGGCCATTTTGTCGCTGACTGACAGAGCCCCGCCAGGCAGCGCGAGACCGCGGGGCGGCTCCGCGCGCGCGCCCCCTCCCGCGCTGCCCGCGAACAGGAAGTGCCGCGCTCACCGCCCCCCCGCCCAGCCGCGCGGGCCACGTGACGCGGAGGGGAGCGGGGGAGGCCCCGCCCTTCCCCGACATGCAAATGAGCGCGGCGGCCGCAGCCAAACAGCGGCGAGGCCACGCCCACCGCGCGCGCGCGCGCCCTCCCGCCACTGCCCCGCGCGCGCGCGCCCGCAGGAGGAGGGAGGGGGGAAGGGGGGAGAAGGGGGGAAGCCGTGACACCCCCCCCAAAAAAGGGGTGTGGAGGGGCTTCATCCCCCACCCCGTGCCGATGGGTGTCGGTGCATTCGGAGCGTTCGCACACACGCAGCCCCACCCACCGTGAACCCCCGCGGGAGATGGGGCGGGGGGGGACGGCAGAGCTGTGACCCTTCCCAAAGGGTTTAGAGGGGCTTCGCCCCCCACCCTCCCAAAGGCTTCTAGAGGGGTTTTGCCCTCCCACCCGTGCGAATGGATCTGGGTGCATTCACACCCACAGACAGACACGCACCCCGTGAACCCCCGCGGAGGAGGAGGAAACGGGAGAGATGTGCCCCCCACCCCCGAAAGAGATGCGGAGTGACTTCACACACACACCCCCGAAAGGGTTATAGAGGGGCTTCACCCCCGCCCCCTGCGAATGGGTGTCGGTGCATTCGATGCATTCACACCCCACCCCGCGGGAGGGGGGGGGAAACAGGAGATCGGTGCCACCCCCGAAAGGGTTGTAGAGGGGCTGTGCCCCCCTCAAAGGAGTGCAGAGGGGCTTCGCCCCCACCCCGTGCACACGGGTGTCAGTGCATTCGGTGCATTCGCTGCACAAAACCCCGGTGAACCCCCGCGGGAGGGAAGAGGAGAGGAACGGGAGAGCTGTGCGGGGGCACCCCCGCCAAAGGAGTGCAGAGGGGCTGTGCCCCCACCCCGAAAGGATTGTAGAGGGGCTAATGCCCCCCAAAGGGGTTTAGAAGGGCTTCGCCCCCCCCCCCCGTGCACATGGGTGGCGGTGCACCCCCCGCGAACGCCGTCGGGGCGTTCACCCCTCCCTCCTAAACACCCGCGGGGCGAGGGGGGACGGGAGAGCTGTGCCCCCCCCCCCCGCCAGAGGCGGCCACAGGGGCTTCAAACATACACACAAACCCCGTGCGAACGACCGTCGGTGCATTCACATTCCCTCTCACCACCCCCCCCCATCCCCGTAAATCTCTGGGGTGGAGGGGGACGGGAGAGCTGTGCCCCCCCCCGAAGGGGACAGACGGGCTTCACCCGCAGACCCCCGTGCAAACATTCGGTGCTTTTCACCCTCCCTCGAAAAGCCCCACCGGGGTTAAGGGGGGCGAAAGAGCTTGTGCCCCCCACCCTCAAAGGGGTGCAGGGAGGCTTCACACGCCCCCCGCAAACAGCCGCGGGTGCGTTCACCCCTCCCTCACACTCCCCACGCTGGAGCTCCCTTCCGTGGGGATGGGAAGGGGCTGCCCCGGGGGGGAGGAGAGGGGAAAGGGGGGGTGAAACGTGGTCCTGCTGCACCCCGAGGTGCCAACAGCCCCCTCTCGCCCTTTCCAGCATCCCTTGCCTTAAACACACATCCCTCTGGCTCTACCTGTACCCTGGCACGTCCATGGCTGTGCGAGTGCCAGCAGATACACCGAGGTGTGGGTGTGCACATGGGTGCACCTGGGTTACACTCCGGGTGTATTTACAGATACCCCAGCCCTGCACGATGCCCCCCTGCAGGGCTCTGCTGGGCTGTTGGCCCTCGCAGGGGATCCCCATCCTACCCAGGTGCCTCCAAAAATAATTCCAGTATTTCAGATGAAGCCCTGGCTAAGCAAACCGGGGGAACCCCCCGGGAATTGTGCACCTCGGAGAGGGGAGATGGAAATGTCAGGTTTCAGAGTGGTTGGTTTGCCTCCCGCAATAACCATGTTAACTGTTTGTTTGAGGAGAGAATCAGGATTTGGTCTCAAAATAACACGGGGAAGAGTGGAATGCAAAAATGAGTCATTTTTGCTAAAAATTGTTGTGTCTGGGTCTTTCAGCAGATCCTCTCTGGTTCTCTCTCCTCTCCTGCTTCCTCTCCCCCTTCTGCAGCAAACGTTTTGGGAACTGCAGGGAAATCCAGAGCCTGAATCTTTATTTGCTCAGGCCGTTCCACTTAAATCTGGATTTAATGTGGGTTACAGAGCAGGGCTGTTACTGCTGGCAGCGGGATCGCACCCACAGCAGGGTGTAGGGAGTAAGAGAAGTACAGCCCCAGCACGATTCCTGTTGGGATTTGTGATGCCAGCCCCGAAGCCACCCTGTGCCAGCCCCTGGGCAAGCAGCACCAGGAGCCCGGAGCCCCTTGACCACTGGAGGGAGCCCATATTGTGCCAGAATGCAACAGAAATACTAAGGGGAAGACAAAAACCACTAAAATATGAAATATCAAATCATTGCAGTCAGAACAATGTGTCTTCTCCAGGTCAGACCGTGATCTATAGCCATGCAAAATGTTATAAAAATCAGATTTAAATGTCCCATTGTACTTCATCGGCACAAAGAAAGGAAAAATTATTAAGAAAAAGGAGCTTTTTTTTTTCCCCCACCACGTTTTGAATATCAGTCTGACACCTTTCAACGGGAGTGAATTCATGCACCACGATGGTGGCAGACCTGGCTTGGAGGAAAAATGCCCTTGTGCCATCCCAAGAGCTGGCACAGCTCCAGCTTGGTCTCCTTGCTTTAATGTAGGTCAGCACCTATAGACTCCTTCCCACACCTGCCCTGGAGCCACAGCAGCTCCCACAGTGCTGCTTTCAAAAGAGATTTTTGCTCTCCTGATAAACCAACCACCCCAAAGAAGCAGAACAGGAGAAGCCACATGTCCTGCATAGGGGACAAGCATCCTCATCCTCACCACGTACATAAAGAGGCTGCCCTGCACCAAAAACTCTGCTTGGCAATCAAGCAGAGGAATGTTCCTGGTCCCTTAAATTATGTGTTGTGAACGTGGAAATATTTGTAATTCAAAACACGCTTTTAACACACAAATATTTCTGGCTCCGCAGAGTGATGCCAAGTTGCTGGAGACCCTGAAATGTCAAAATGGAATAAAACTGAAAGTGATTTGTGTACTAATCTGTTTTCTTGGCCCTGGCAAAATTACCATCAAAAAGCATGATGTAACGACAGCCACACAGACACGGGTATCTGTGTTTGATACCTGTGTTCTAAAATACCATCCTTAACAGGTAAAAATGTGTTCTAGTAAACCTTTCCCGTCTTACCTGAGTTCTTTTACCAGTAAATACAGGGCTTTATCCAATGGGAATTTTATTTCCCCCCCCTTGTTTTGTTCTCCCGCTGAGGTTTTGCCCTCCCACTCCCCTTGGGAGCTCACAGAGATCCTGGAAGCTCGCACAGATCCTGGGTGCATTTGCACCCCCAGCACCACGGGCTGAGGCTTTGTAGGAGCTGGTGACTGCTGTCACCACGTACACTTGTCCTCAGTAGCCCCCTTGGCCTGAGCTGACAGGACCCTGGTGGGGCACGGGCTTCTCCTTGAGCTGTGCTTCCCAGAGCTGCTCCAGGCAGCCACTGCTGCCTTTGAACCTTCTCCTTCCCCCCAGCACTCAGGTAGTCTTTTCTTGTCACACATGAGTAAGAACAGATGTGAGCTGGTGTGAAGGGGAGGAAAAGGGACATAGGATGCCAGCGGTTCAGTGCTCACAGAGCAGGAGGAATTCCTGTGCTTGCACCGCTGCCTTGTAAACTTCCAATTTCCCAATCCGCCTGTGTCTCGGGGAAAGGGCTGTGACCAAAATGTTCACAGGGTGCTGGGCATGCTGAATGGATGGGTATGAGCACAAAGAGGCAGGCACTCACACAGATACAGCCTTTTCTGTGCTGGGAGTGAGTGACAAAGCTAGGCTAAGTAGAGCTCTTCACACATTCAGGGCTGTGTTGGGGTGGCTCAACCACACCAAGGCAAAATATTCCTCCACTGTAGACTTGACACCTCTTGCTTATTTTCCTGTCATCCAACTGAGTACAGAAGTGGGTCAAAATAGTCACCAAGCACCTCTTACCAAGCGATAATGAGCACACACAAAGCTGATCTCAAAGCCTTGAGGAGAATCCACTCCCTGACGCTGAACAGGATTTCCCAGAGCCCACACAAGGTGAAGCTACACCTCCAAGGCCCTCCCTTGTCTGAGCTGACTCTCAGAGGCAGAGTGGGCAGGATCACACTGGGAAGCCAGGATCAAGGATAGCAAGGGCTTTTCCAAGGAAGTTATGGATGTATGAGATGTTTGCATGGAGTCCATTCCCTCTGAAGGATGCAAACATCCTTTCTGGCCACCCTACCGATGAACTGTGTCTTTAGGGTGAACACTTAAATAGAATCGTGGAATCACAGAATCATAGAATTTTTAAGTTTGGAAAAGACCACTAAGATCTTTGAGTCCAACCATTAATGAACTGTACTTAACTTACACAGCATTTTTTAATGGAAAAACTCACTTTAATAACTTACGTTTCCCTCCCCGCACTTTCATCCTACTTGCTGGGACCA